CCGGCTTTTCATCTAAGCAGGGTGACCTGACACTCCCGACGCAAGCAGCTATAAGCAAAGGTCAAAGAAAACGGGTTTTGTTCATATGCTTTCAGGCACAACAGAGGTAATGGCACAGTACGTAGGGTTTGTTTATAAACATGCTGCACTACGCGTTATCATCGTCCATTGTGATTGGTTGACAAATCCAACAGGATTCCACCGAAAACGAATTATTCTGACTTGCCAAACTGCAGCAGTAAGCAAACACCAATGTTCAAAGCCATCAGGATTTTCGCCTCAGGTTTTACTTCATTTGTTACGCCTAGTGCGTAGTGCAAACATTACTCGTAACAGGTTTTCCGAGTGCCCGTGTTATACAAAGACCTAGGTAACTTAATCACAGCCGGTACCAACAAGTTGAACATGGATTGCCCGGGGTAGGCCTGTACTTTATTATCTAGACTGGGACAGAAACGGCGGCCGCACCCGACCTTAAAGCAGGCCTGCATGTCACAACATGTGTATTCGTTGGAAGCAGCCCTGTCCTCTGTCCTCTTAGGATGAGGTGGCTAGCCGACCGTCTGACGGCTGTGGCGCGACGTCATTCTGGGACACGCCGGGCGCGTGAGAAACTCTGCCGTGAAACCCCAGCGTGTAATTATGGCGGCGGTGCGAGATAAGACGGCACGGCTCTTAGTGTCAACACGGCGCGCGAAAAACAAGCCGCGGTGCTAATAGATTTGTCCGATGGCCCGGTAATTACCGAGAGTGCCTGATGTGTTCATCAGCTCCAAGGCCTATCATTGAAAGTCCCTGATGTATTCGCCACATCGGCATTTAATTTGACCCGTTTGACGAATTGGCTGTCCGTATCCTTCACAACCATCACAACGCAGTGACTGAAGCGACGCTGAGCCTCTCCTTTATAAGTTCCTTCTCCTCCACTCACCATTTCTTCTCGTACATAATGCATGGCTGACCTTATTTGCATAGAACAAATACGCTTCCAGGTCAGCAGATTGCCGGGGTAGAGCCCTCCGAAAGGTGCACGGCGTACGTGTCGCACACTGCACGATGCGAAGCGGGACAAAGGCCGCCGAAAATCTCTCCGCCTGGCCTGTGTCATCTGTGGTCTCGGGTTATATCTAACGATGAATTTCTTCGGTAAAGTCGGCCTTCACCTTACCTGGTTAATGCCGTTGTTACGTATTTCGTGGAGGCAGGACTGTACCAAAGCGTGCATACGTAGCTGCTTATTCCTTCAAACAGTAGCTCATAAGCCAGGTCCATGAAATACACCTCAAAACCTGGGACTCCGCAGGCGGACCTAAGCCACTGCCAGCGCGGACCAACATCGCCCTAGCATCTGCGAATAACCAGAGAGGTGCGCATCACAAATGTAATCGCCACAGTGCACAAACACAAGCCACATACCAGGACGTGCTTGAGGAGTGGATTACCGAACGCCGACACCAAACGTGGCACGGAGGCTACGGTCACCTGACGTGCCACCAAGCCACCGCGTCGGGCGGTGAAAAGCTGCCTTCGAAACCCGACATCGACCGGCAGCACCGTAACGGGTCTGAACGCTAACAAGACGGATGGTGACGGCGGAATGGGTGCTTTCCGACGGTTCCAACGCGATTGGAGCCTGGAGACTTAGACGGATGCGACTCCTGACCGGCCTCCGCCGCAGGCAAGAGGGCCCGCCGTCGTCCTGACGCGACAGAAATGAACGTTTCTCCGAAAGGACCAGTCTGCGATGATTTGTCGGGAGGCAGTACAGCGGCCTTTAAGCCTCCAGCAATCAGTCACGCATGGCCAAGCGATAAGGAGAACTGAATTATGTGGACAGCTAAGCTTTTCTCTTCAGATCGCCCCGCACTCGCAGCCAGACCAGCGGGCAACGCGCTGTCACGCTTCCAATTCCACTGGCGTCACCCAAGTAGCGTCAGGGGTGCGCGGGCGTTCACAGCAGACACGTGTGTGGCCCGATTTCAGCTCCGCCAGGCCAGTTCCCTGACTCACGAGAGGCTGGCCGCTGAGGCGGTTACCAGTACGTCCGAGTCGCCCCGACGGGCGCTTCCAGGCCCTCATTACCTGGCGTCGGGTGGGACACTTCGAGCCTGGATGCTGTGGGAAGGGTGAAGATGTGAGGGATGTTCGGGGTGCTGGGCGTGGCGCACGGGTGCAGATGAGGCCTACTTAACGGGCAGCCATCAGCTAATGCATGACAAGTGAGGGCTGATTGATGTCCAAGTATACGCTGGAACAAAGGCTTTCATTTATGTAGGCAGAGCCGACAACAGACTGTGGCTGGTAAGCAGTAACCCATTTCTTGATGTTCCCCCAATGGCTTGAGACTGGAAGGCTGTACTGGGCAGTTAAACTTTAGAAGTCTTCCAATAGCAGGTATACTTTTCCACAATTTTGCAAGAGCTACCCCGGTAATGCAAATTCTTTTAGCGCATATTGCAAGCCACAAGACAGACTTAAAGGGAATGCTCCACATTTGAAGATATTGAAGCAAGCATCATATATTATGAAATAAGATCACTTATAACTATTGCTGTACTAACTATTGCTGTATAACTATTGCTGTATAACTATTGCTGTACTAAGGTTGCTCTAGACAGCACAAGTTCTCTTTTAAGTAAATACCCTCCTAAACACTTAATCTTTTGATTTGGTCATCGCACCATGCACAACATTAATTGAGGTCCCATTGACGGCCGTTATATGCGGAAATCATGCTCACAAATGTGAGATATTAATGGCCCGACAGTGATCTTTTTTTCCTTGATCTGCGCACGGTTCACAGAATGATAGGTTTTGAATAACGTTCTTATGGCGTCAGGGGTGCCTGAGTGCCCCTGAAATAGTCTCCTCAGAATTCTCTACACATCTTTGCAGCCGCGCGTAGCTCGGAACAATCTGCGCGGAATTCTGAATGATCTGCACAGAATGATCTTCAAGATGGCTATTTCAGTTCAAACCCCCATACCAATGTGGAACACACACTTAAACGCGAACGTCGCCTGATTTTCAAGCAGTCACAACTCCGATCATCTGTATGATATATTATCGTTTCTGAAATATCATCGCTTTGACACTTCGACCTTGAATTTGAAAAAAAACGCTGTGAATTTGAAGGCATGTTTCAAAATAAGACTTCTGCGTAGGAATAACAAGTTGTCGCTATGAACTGATTAAGGGCACATCAACATGTCTCGCTATCAACGTTAGGCGATTATCAGGCGTCTAAACTCATAGATTATCCGGGCCTCATTGTCCGTCGGAATGTGTGGGAACATGTAGTACATAACATTGGACGCCTGACTAGCTTCACCTACTCATACTGCAGCAAGCCGAAGATTGTTCTTACAAAACTGCAACTCAGTATCATCAAACCGGGATTATTTACCTATAAACTAATACTGAAAGGCAACGTGTCGACTGCTTACTGATCGAAGATGACGCATCCGCACCGAAAAGTAACTTCAGGGTTTTAAGCCATTGTCACGAACACCCAAAATGGGATTTCCATACCCAAAACGTGACAAACTCCATAAAACTGTGCCTGGATGGCGTCCTTCTCTTCGTGCACGCGGTAATGCTGCGACATCGAAGAAGCTGCAGTACAGCTTGGATACGAAGTCTCCACTGGGACGTGGTTGGCGGGAATCTGGCAGCATAGCAGCTGTTTGCCATGCTGCCAGATTCCCGCCAACTGAGCCTCCAGTTCGTAAGCTTGTCGTGGGCTGACGCTAGTAATACCAGCGCCGTTGCACGCGCGCTGCCACCGGCTCCGGCTTACGAATTCAATCACGTACCGCTCAGGATAAAACACGCAGAGTCATGACCAGGCGACTGCGAGGAGGGTCATTCGTACAGCGCCACACAGCAGGTAACAAGGCCGGTATCAATCCTGCAGCGCCTCGCGGGCGTGCATTCACCGGCGCATGGTCCCGCGCATGCCAGTGCACACGTGCCTGTGGGCGCGCGCGCGTGTGTGTGTGTGTGTGTGTGTGTGTGTGTGTGTGTGTGTGTGTGTGTGTGTGTGTGTGTGTGTGTGTGTGTGTGTGTGTGTGTGTGTGTGTGTGTGTGTGTGTGTGTGTGTGTGTGTGTGTGTGTGTGTGTGTGTGTGTGTGTGTGTGTGTGTGTGTGTGTGTGTGTGTGTGTGTGTGTGTCCGTGTGCAGCGGGGAGCAAGGCCACATGACGGGCGCGAAGGTGTGTGGCGTGAACAAAGCGGATTATGTCCGAAAACCTTCCATGGCATGTACTGCTTTGGTTTGTAAAAAATATACTCGTTGCTATCCCCAGATATGTTGAATCACAACACCCGGTCAAAAATAGAGTTCAACCCATGTTCACGCTGCCAAGTGTCCGAATACCCTAAAAGAAGCATCGTGACAGGCTGTCAGCTGTCGAATAACTGAGCGAACTCCAGAAATGCTTAACGAGCACTTCACGATCAACACTTCCACGAATCAAATCTGATGATCATGCGGCTTGCGTTAACACGCAAAGAGGCCTTCCAGATACCAAAATAAGTAGCCTTAAAAAAGATAGATGACCACAACGGCAACAAACAACTGCGGACATGTTGATCAAGAGTGCGTCTCTGAATCTGCCAAGTGATGATAAATGCGATGCGACTTCTGTTGGTAACCCGCATTATTGTTGATTAGGCAAGGCACGGACCACACGCATCTGTGTCATGCGAAATTAACTCACGTGCCTGCAATGAACACAAGCCTGCGTCGCAGTTACGTTATGGTAGCACAATATATGCTGACTTCATTCCCCTCTCACGGCCATTGCATTTGGAGTAAGCTGGACGGGAAACATTATATTTGAGGTCGCTTGGGCGGGAGACACGCCGACATCCCCATCGGTGTCACGAGCATCTTAGCATAGCATGGCGCTGACGTAAGTAATTGTCACTTCTTTGAACATGACAGGGAGCAAAACATACCACCCAGAAACATGTACCTGAGCATCAGACATCACGAACATGACAAATGAACACAGCCAGATGGCTGCATTGCAGGACGGCTCCGCGCCGCGTACAACACACTTCCTGGGGGCGTCGGAGGACGGCAAGCACATGGCCCAGGTGTCGGAGGACAGCAAGCACATGGCCCAGGCGTCGGAGGACAGCAAGCACATGGCCCAGTCTCTGACTGGGCGCATGTCACACCGCGAAAAGTCCACCATTCAGAGGGCTTTACTAGCCCAGCTATCAACACTTAATGAGTGCCAATAGGCGGTCCAATACGCAGATCATGTAGTGATCGACACTTCACAATTTACTCCGACCCCGTGGTTAGGGCTCGGTCCGGGCTCGTCCGGAGCCCGGCGCGGGCTCGGTCAGGGCTCGGCCCGGGCTCGTCCGGAGCCCGGCGCGGGCTCAGCCTGGGCTCGTCCCGGGCTCGGTTAAGGTTTGTCCATGGCATGGTCAGGACCTGGGCCAGGTCTAAGTCATGGAGGGCATCAGCCGTACCTCGGCCACGTCTCGGTCCGGACACCCGGCGCTCGCCCGGCCGGACGTGCACGACACTGGACGCGCGTCTGACGAGCTGGGTCGCCTCTGGGACTGGCCGTAACGAGTTCCGGCTCGTCTCGGCCATCAGAACTTCGCCAGAGATGGCCCTCTCGCGCCACGTGCGATGCCAATCTGTGGCGCGCCACCCGCTGCCATCAATTCCGCATGATCGCGCCGTCGCGGGCGTCAGAAGAGCCGGACCGGCGGTGAGACGTAGCATGCAATCTGCCGACAGCACTCTGGGGATGGCAGTCCTGTCCTCAAGCTAGGCAGCTGCCAGGCCCATACTTATAGCGTCGGTGCGGCGGGAGCGCGCCTCCAACCGCACCAGGCTCCAAGACAATGGGGTCCGCGCTTGACTGCGGCCACGCCGCGTCACTCGCTCGTTACAGGGGCTCTCCGCGTGATGACAGCGACCGCTCAACTCCACAAGCTCCGCATGCGCGCATGGGAGCTAAATATTCCGCGTCTAATCACCTGCATAAAACATGCGGCTGGCTACGGAGGCGCTTCCTGGTCTCGGCGACACGGAGCGCTACAGTGCCAGGTCGGGTTACCTGGCTCCACGGTGTCAGCTGTCGAGCCCAAGAGGCAGGTGGGGAGCGGAAGCCGCCGCGCCTGCCGTCGAGCTAGGCTCCCGGGTCAAAAGGTCTTGGCCGACCCCACTGTCGGCTGCAATAGTTGGTGTCGTCAGCTGGAGTCGACGTCCCAGCACAAGAGATCGCCTTGGATTCCTTTGTCAGTTTGCTCCAAGCAAGCGGGTGATGGCTGGCATTTGCAAGACGGAAGCAAGTTTTCACTGATTGAGGGGACATGAAAACCTTTGAGTTAATCGCGTGAGGGCAGTTCGCAATCCCTGAATTGCGTGGCCCTAGATTATCCGCGCAGGAGCTCTCAGCCATCTTTAAAGCCCCCAAACTCCGCAGCCGTCGCCGGATCTGGGCGCGCACATCTCCCCAGACAGCTGCGCAAACTCCCGGAACTCTCAATACCCCCGCATTTTTAAACCTCATCCGCGTGTCGTCCAGGACATCCGACTGGGGTGTGCCGACCGCACAACGGCGCGCTTTCCTGGCGCGACGAGGACTCCTGCCGCTCCTCACCTGACGGATGGGCCTGTCCTCCGAGCAGGCGTCCTCCCGCCGGGCGCGGGACACGCCGACCTTCGCCCGCGCCGGGCCCGCCCGGCGACAATTAGCGCTGGGACGCGGCACTGGGACCCGATTACAGACCGGCGGCCCCCCGCCGCGCCGCTCCCAGGCACGGGCCCGGCCCGGCGGCGGACGCGTCACCGCGCACAGGTGCGGCACCACCGGCCGCCGGCTCCGGCGCCGGGCATGAGCCGCCGCCGAGCGCCGCCGCCGACTGGCTCGCGCAGCCGCTGCAGCTGCAGACCGGCCGGCGCCCCTGGCAGCAGACCGTCCGGGTGGGGTGGCATCTCCGGACAGGTGGAGTCGCAGAGCATTCTCAGATGGATCAGCATTCTCAGATGAATTCTCGGGGTAGGGCGCGGCATGATCGAGTGTTTTTCCGCGGTGGGTCCCCGCTCGCCCTGTGCTTGTTTGCGGGTCCGCTGCGCGTGCGCGGTACACTAGGGGCGCCGCGTGAAGTTGGCCCCTGATGACAGACGAGCTGCATGGGGTGGAATGGAAATGAATTGCAGGCAGGATGCTGAACGGAGCCCGGAAAATATTGCCGGTGTCGACGCGGTGTAATTGAAATGCAGGGAGCAAACAACCTACCAAGGAGAATAGACAGGCGGCACGGGCAGCTAGCGTATGCACAAATAACCCGAGAGGAATGTTGGAAACAAGTTTAATGGCATTATAGTATTCTCTATAGAACAAGAGGGACAAAGGAACACAATTGTTTTACAAGCTCAAGAACATTGGGTGACCGCATTCAGAAGCAAATTTCGTTCTAATCGAACGGATCGACATGCCAACGTGACCGCGAAGCCCAACACAAAGACATAGGAATCAGACATTTCGTCAAATTCGTTTTCGACTCAGATAAAGATCTGGGCCAGCAAAACCTAATAACCCCGTTACAGGTCAAATGGCCTGGTCCCAGATAGCGGGAAAACCATTTAGTCCCCACCACATGGCGTACAATGATGACGAAATCGTAACATTAGTCGTTTTCACAGAGATTCCCGCCCCGTAAAAAGTTTTCTTCTGTTTGGAATTAACAGCGGATCACGTGGGTTTCTGTTAATCAGTACAAATGGCGGAAACACTTAACCCAAAGACGAAAAATGTCAGCGGTGCTTCCTGTCACCCATAACATCGCAATATGGAATTGTTACAAAACCAGAATCCCTCGTGAAGACGTCTACCTTTTCTGTTCCAACACCATCGATTTGTGCGGGTTATTGTTCTCCGAGTATGGTTTAGCTTGTAGATTACTACATGACTATCATTAACTTTTCAACACATACTTTAATGCATGACTATTGTCTCAAATTGGATTCGGTATCACAACATGAACGTGAAAGTGTTATATGAACTCCTTGTGCGTGCAATAATCTGTGAAAACACGGCTAGGACATCCCCGTTTAGATCATCTGAATTATCGACGGGCAGCCATAAGCCACTCTCAAATCAGCGGTGGCCTTCTCCGAGCACTAGGACAACGCAAGTTGCAACTCGAGTGTACAGAACATCCTCCTTTCACTCCATTCTCCTGCTTCGCGTGCACGTGGGCCCATGGGCGGACCGGTAATCGGCACATGTAGGACGTCAGCTGCAGCAGCCTCCGGTGCAACCGGTAAAGCCAAACAAACAGTTCATGAAGTGCAGTGGAAAAGTCTCACAGCAACGTCCTCAGTGATCTCCGCCGAGGTCTCAGCTCTGCACCGTTACGCTAAGGGTTGACCGACTGGATCAAATGTACGCACGCGCTCGCTTCGGCCTCGTAGTGAATTGCTTTCTCTACCGATCTTCTAACTCTCCCAAATATTTGCCAGCAGTTCGCATACTTCAGAGTACCATGCGAGCTGGTAATTCGGCGCGTAGCCCGCGAACCTGCCGCGCCATCCCCACCAATCAGCCAGTCCGGCCAGCCTCCACCCGGCCCGACCCGGCTGACCCGGCTGACCTCTCAACAGCCCGCCCGGCCGGCCACCGACTCAGTGGGGCCGGCCCTCCCCCAGCGGCCCCTGCCCGGCCGGCCCGGGCGACCCCGCGAACGCCGTCCGTCTTGTGCCGCTTTTTATCCCGTTTTAAATTCCCGACTGCACCTATCCATTAGCGAAGCAGCGCGGAGCCATGAACGGCTATGATTGGAATCGTAAGAGCGTTTCCTGGGTGCGCTCGGAGGGAGACACCGAGCCGTCCGTCTCCTGGGATGAAGTCCGCAGGTTCAGGACCGTCCGTCTCCTGGGATGGAGACCGCAGGTTCAGGACCGTCCGTCTCCTTGGATGGAGTCCGCAGGTTCAGGACCGTCTGTCCCCTCAGGTGAAGTCCGCAGGTTCAGGACCGTCCATGTCCTTGGATGGAATCTGCAGATTCAGGACCGTCCGTCTCCTGGGATGGAATCTGCAGGTTCAGGACCGTCCGTCTCCTTGGATTGAGTCCGCAGGTTCAGGACCGTCCGTCTCCTTGGATGGAATCTGCAGGTTCAGGACCGTCCGTCTCCTTGGATGAAGTCCGCAGGTTCAGGACCGTCCGTCTCCTTGGATGGAGTCTGCAAGTCCAGGACCGTCCGTCGCCTTAGATTGAGTCCGCAGGTTCGGGACAGTCTCCTCAGATGGATTCCGCAGGTTCGGGACAGGTCTCCTCAGATGGAGTCCGCTGGTTCGGGACAGGTCTCCTCAGATGGAGTCCGCTGGTTCGGGACGCACGCGACCTGCTCATGCCGGGTATCTTTGTGCTCGGAGGACATTCACTTAGAGTACCTCGCAGTTGATGCCACAAAGCTGTAAAAATGTTTATCCATGGTATTCACAGACATTTACTACGTCACACAAATGAATAACGCAAAGTTACGTTCACCTCAGAAACCGCACAGTTCACGAACACAAGCTGTTGCACAAGCAATCCAAGCTCATGTTGGCGGCTTAACGGCAACTCCCTCGGGATTTCATGCAGCAATAGCTATGGAATCCATTCCCAACCCATGCTTCAGATCAATAATTAACACACGAACGCAACATGAGCGGAAAACCCTCCGCCAAAAATACGCCTGTCTCGCCGCATTACAGGAAGCCCAGCTGAAAACGTCGTTCACGGCCCAGCCGACAGCGTCCCATACGCCACACGGCGTAGATGGAAAAAGCGGAGATGCGCCGCTACCACACGGCTGGCACGCCGCCCGGCGGCTCGCGCGCACGTCACATTACTGCCAGCGAAGCCGCGTGCGGTTCGTGCCGCGCCGCCGCTGTAGGAGGGCTTTTTGCGCCGGCCGCGGAAGCGGACCGCCGCGCGGTACCCCGGCCTGGGGCTCAGGTGGCGGAGTGTAAAATGAAGCGTCGAGGCCTCAAGTGAGACGGCCTCGGGCCTCGGTTCAGGTGGCAGGGTGTAAAACGAAGCGTCGAGGCCTCCGGTGAGGCGGCCTCGGGCCTCGCAAGCATGAAGGGATAGCTGCTGGGATGATGAGAGGGTATTCGAGTTGATTTAGCGCGATGTG